AAAAAAAAAAAAAAAAAAAAGTTGACGCCTCATCCTCCATCTTCTTGTCCATTTGATTCCCGATGATTCCTTCACTCCTAATATACATCCTCATCTATGCACCTTAAAAGGACCGAAGGTTTCCATGTCATTTTCCTTGTGACTTTCCATTACTGATTATGTTGAGAACACCCACCTTCCTTTTAGCCCAGCGGCGCTTGCGCCGGGCCCTGCACGATGGGCTGGCCTCCAGGAGCTGCAGTCAGCCAACCCTCCGGCCCCAGCGCCCGAATACAACTGTACTTATATTACCCCTTTAAATAGATAGAATATGGGATATATGGGGATCTTATTAGAATATACCCAAAGCCATACTCTATCTACTTAAGGGGGACTGTAGGCCTACAAAGTATCCAGACCAGAAACCATTGGTAACCCAAAGCTTTGCGGTAAAGATTGAAGTCTGGGCTGGGGCCCTGAAGAGACGTACCTTTGTACAACTACCCTTCAGCGAAAATGTTGAAGCAGAACCAAGGACTGTGCAGCCCAGTGTTACCTGCTGTGTCATTGTTGGGAGCGCAGGATAACTTCTTCCCTGCTCTATACTCTGGCCTTCCAATGTCCCTCCAACGAAAAGAACCACTTGCAATGTGGCCCCACAACATTTTGTTTTTGCTTCAGCAAACCCGGCCGCGTCAAGGGCAGGTTAGAAGCGCATGCCAAAGATTCACGTTTGCTTTCAACGCATGCCAAAGAGATGTCCACAAACCTATTTCCGAAGCCTGACCCACCACACTGGCAACACGTTCAACACCGTCCCTAATTGAGGTTGCCAGCACGGAGACCCACCGCAGGGCCTGGTGCCAAGGGTGGCGCGAATGGTCCTGGCCTTGGCAGTTTCCTACATGTAATGCGCTGCTGACACAGGCACCACCGCCATCACCTCTGACAGATCAGCACAGCCACAAGTCAGCACCCACGCCAGCACCCTCACCGCGACCGCCACCATGGCACTGGCAGTAGTACAGTGGTAGCACTATAGTCACTATAGTCTACTGGAATAAGAATCAATTTCACAGCTGCATGTCATTCATGCAGAAAAGTGATCCAATCCCTTCAGCAGCACTCACAAGAGAAAGAGCCGGACCTCAACAGAATGCAACCCCATTGGAGACATTCATCAAGAGCGCACATAAGTTGAGAAACTCCTTCCTGTTTGCTTGGTGCCCAGCGCGAGCGGATCAGGTGGTTCGGAGCTGGAAAACACCTGGCCAGGGGTCTTTTGGATTTCGCAAGCAATAAATCACCACTGACTCTAAACTACATAGCAACTACTTTGTGGCGACATCCGGTTGCTGGAAGAAGTCATGAATCATCTTTCGATAGCTGAAGTGCACGTAATTTACATCCAGGCATTTAGTGAACTTGCCGTATGGTGCTGCAGTCTTCCGTAAACACCGCGCGACCCATCACGGGCTCTCAGCTGCAGAAACCCCTTCTCTGACGATACTGGCAGGCAAAGATGATATACCACCCTTCAATACATTATGGGATGTACGTGTAGTCCTTGTCTCGAAGTATCCGGGGCATAGGCATTCCACTCTTGCAACAATACTCATAACCCTTATACATATGTCCCGTCCTTTTCATGTTTCATTTCGATGCTCCGTTCCAAAACCCTAAGCCCTCCACATCCCGATTGGCCTATTCAGACCCATGCTGCTCCGGCCTGCTGTGAAGGAACACGGCCATTGCAGTATGCCAGCCACTTTTCACGGAGGATCGGCCTCAGGAAGCGTTCCTTGCGCTGCATGATTCTGTATCATGGTTGAGGTTTCCTGTACGACCCCGGCTATCAGCATTCAAACCCAGTATGGTCCAGTATGTGAACCCACCAGCGTAATCAAGGTTCAAGGTGCATCGAGGAAGTTGAATCGGCGTTGAAAGCTGACCCCAGCTTGGTCGACTAGTCAGCCAGAGGGCCCGGCGTCCAAGCCCCATAGCCTTGTCCCTGAAATAACTTTGAGCCTAAAACTAACAACACAAGGCTTGACAGCTACTAGGTCCCAGGCTCATACTTGTCCCGGACGAAGCCCGGGCCATCGCAGAGAGGCGATGAAAGCATGATCTGAAGCAAGATGTGATGGGGTCAGAGGATGTCGGCTACAGGGGCTCAAGATGGACTTAAAGATTGCTGGAAGTGAGGATGTTGCGCTTCACTTATGAATTGCGGGATGCAAGCGATCCCGAAACGAGTATACAGGCCAGATGTGGCTGCAGAATGAAGATGTGAGTGCTCCGGCTCTATTGTCAGAGTTCAATCACTGGTTTAATCCAAACAGGGTTCGTAGGGCATCCTTACCAAGTCCAACCAGAAGCATATTGCGGAGTATCAAACTTTATGGCTCCTGAATGCGAGCCTGAACGAGGACCCCTATGACAAAACGACACACGTAGTTGGAAGGCAGCCGACGAGGCATCAAATCTACGTGTGTCTTGGAAGCTCCATCGCGTCTTTGAATGCCTGGATATACGTGCTTTGGGCTTGAAACTAGGCCCCAGGCATGTGTGGGATTTTGCGAATCCTTCTCGAGGATGCTATGAAGGAGGTTTTGTGATGAAAAAGGACATACCAATCCACGAATCATTCATCCGAATTCAAGGCCTCAGACTTTGCCCTATAAACGACCCAGCACCCTAAACTCCAAGGATTCTTCCGAACTCCATAAAGTGACGAATCTCAAAATCCTGCCTGACGCAAGTTCTTCCGTAGCATAGACAGAGTCTGAAGGTTGCTGCAAACGCCTTTCACCTCATCTCATGCAGCTTTGAAGCAAGTGGCAAACGGGCTTGGAGTTTATCTCAAAACAGGATGGTGACTCTTGTTCTATTTATTGCCCCGGGCATATTGCTACTAAGGAGGTCTAGGTAGGGCTCCGCTTGAGAGGCAGGGCCCCACTAAGCTTGAAGGCCTTGTGAGTCATTGGCATGTTTGCTGCATCCTTGGCAGAGGCTTCCTTCCACAAAGCCACTCGTTCTTGCACTTCGGTTGGTTACTGCGCCCACCCTCTTGGGCAGTGTAGCAATCAAACATAATTAGGTGCTTCTATGCAAGGTAGAATATTACAGTATAGCTATAATCACGGAGGGCCTGTCAGAGGGTTGGGGCAGTAAGTACCCAAGAGTGCGGTGTTGTCATTCAGGCCACTAGGAGGCACCTTTTGCCTGCTTTTTCTCTGCGGGAGCCTCTCCGTTCCATGAAAATAGGTAGACCGCAGGTAGAATGCCCTCAGATACACGTACATGCACTAAGCTCTAAAACATTGGGTCTTGCTGAAAAACACCATCCACCTACGTATGCCCCCTCCTCCTGCTCCTCCTCCATCTCCTGCTGCAACCGACTGAAGGTAGACAGGCATGTTGCCTAGGTGTAGTGCCGAGTCCGGGACTTTGGTTACGTATTCCTCCTGGCGTGTGCGGGCGCTGTCAAGTTGTGTATAGACGCTTGTTTAGGAAGTCTGAGCAGGCTTAGAGTACAGCACACGTACCTATTAGACATGCATGAACGGAATGCAGAGATGAGCAGCCATGCAGCTAAGCCAAGGATGCTACAATCAACACATCAAGCTGTGAATTACCGTGCTAACTTGGCGGTGCCTAAACTTTCCAATCTGTCGGGTCTGAGTCTGTACAGTAAGCACGTTCTGAGTCAAGGTTTCAAGATCTGACTCGGCCTGTGTGTTTGCAGAGAACTCGCCCAAGCCAACCGCGGTAAGCAAGGTATGGCAAACCTGGGATCGGCGCAGGCCCTCAGGAAAGGCTGAACTCTCCAGCCCTCGCATGCTACTCCACAATGGGAGCCGTTCAAATCAAACGAAACTGAAAGCTCGAGAGGAAACCCGGCAACCCTCCTCCAACAACAGTATCCACACGATCCCCGTGAGAACCCTTTGGGCTTGGAAGTCATGTGCAGCTTATCTGAGCCAACGTCGGCAGCAGGACGGGGCTTTGAAGCATGTCCAACTGCATTCCGAAAGCTACAAAGTCTGCCTTTTTCATGCTCTTGCAGGACTTTGCCACGTCAAGCAGTGTAGAGAGCTAGGCATTTCCACAGGCTTGCACGTTACTCTGGTGGTGCTGATCATCCAGGAATGCTCGGGGAGCGCAAGGAACGTGGACAACGCCTGCCGAGTTTAGATCCTGAGCTGGTCTTTTTAACACTGCCAACAATCGGATGAGTCTAGCAACTAGGCCCACCCCTAACTGACATGGCACTCCATGTAGCTTCTTTCTCAAGCGCTTCAGCCTTTATGACTTCTGTTGCATGTTAGTTATAAGGCCACAAAGGCGCGCAAGGAGCATCCATGCCCCGGAGTGAAGGGTTTTGCGTGCAACCCTGAGCGAGCTTCCTGAGACCGGTAATGGTAAGCCCTCAATAAATCAAACAAGCTGCAGCAGCTGCAGCTGTTGAACTGCTTCATGAACTTCCAGGAAGTCTTCATGAGCTTCTTCGGACCTTGCTGGGCGGATCGCCAAACCTGTTTCCTCGGTTCGCATGGTCCCTCAAAAACTTGTGAACATGCCCCTATGGAAATCAGTCGGAGAAAGGCAAGCCACTTTAAGCCTATATAGCAATCCAGCTGCTGCATATCTGCTCCATGAATTCCAGGATTGCACCAGTGTCGCAGCCCAGGAAGGCGGCTGCTCTCTCCCTAGCCACATCCAGTGGTGTCTCCCCAAAAACTGACCTTTACTGAAATTTCTTGGACCCTGGTGCAAAGCAGCTTTAAGTCGAACACAAACTCGAAAATCAGAAGTGAAAAGTGAAAGACCAAATCCAGTGGCTCCATCACGGGATCTGCTTTGGCATCCAGAAGCATCTTGACCAAGTGCAGATCACCCGCCATTGCTGCATAGTGCAGTGGAGTCTCGTGCATGGAATCATGTGGATCTGGAGGAAAACCGCGTGACAGTAGACGCTGAATGGTGGCACAGGACTTTGCAGCAACTGCTTCATGTAGAGTAGACTCTCCCAATGTGCCCTTGGCGAGCTCTGCGTTGATGCTGAAGCCGGGTATTGAACATACCTCTTCAAGCTTTGCTAACTGTTCGTCGCCGGATGCTGCCAGGACAGAAGCCAGGTGATATGCTGCCCAGCGCTGCAATCGCCGCTTCAGACGTTCCACCCCGAAGCCATTGTAGCCTTGCCGGATGAAGGCCAGGACGTGCTCTGTGTCTTCCGGAACCCAACATGATGCAGCTTCAATGTCTACATTAAAGAGAGCTTCCGTTATCTGGCGAGGTATGTATCCAAACTTTGAGTGGCCATTTGGGAACAACTTCGTGCAGGCCATGACGCCTGTCGGGCAGGCAAAGTAAATGAACTGCCCGAGGCGGGCACCACATTCAATGTGATAGAGGCGCCATGCGCGAGACATACTCCAAGGCTGCACACCTTTACCGACATCACAGCTGTCCCTGCAATGCATGGTAGCAGCAGTGGTGACCAGCAAAGATCGGCACTCGCGCTGAGATCTGTCCACAACTAGCTGATCGCCTTCAAAAGAGTTGCTCCTCATGTCCTCTTTTGCCTGATGCTGGTTTTTGGCCAACAAGCTGCAAAAAAACACAGCAGAGTCCTTGAGCTCCTTTGCTTCGGCATACCACTCGATGGCGGCCATGATGTCGGAGAAGTACATACACATGTGGAAGTCAACGAACGTGTCCGGAAGCTGTGGAGACTCAGCGACCAGCTCCACATATGAGCATTTCCGCGCCAAGGTCTCCTAGCAATGATGCTTAGACTGGCAGTTCGAGGAATCATCAGGTATCCACCCAACCACCACCACCACCGCCGCCGCCGCCGCCGCCGCCAGGCAGCAGCAGCAGCTGCACCAGCTAGCACCACCATCAGCACCAACCAGCACCAGCAATCGCCTACAGCTGCAAGTCTGAAAACGGGTTGGCAATTGTTTGGGACTTGCGCCGCAGGCTTGTTAATGGTATTGGATTCAAAATTGAAATTGGAGCATCGACTGCTCTCCTTCCAGATGAACTGGTCTCTGACTTGTTCTGCAGTGACCGATTCCCACGGCAAGCCTGGCAAGCACTTGCCAAAGGCCGTGCGAACTTTGCGGGCGAAGGTCCGAAGCTGTCCAAGTGTGATGCCTCTCCTTTCACTGGAATGCAACAAACAACCATGAACGGTTTGATCAACACCCATCTCAAGAATACCAGAGGTTTCTGGGACTTGCGCAGTCCCAACTCTGAAGGGGCTCTCATGCAAAATATTTGAGGCCTACACATTCAAGGCTTTGCTGAAGCTCATTTGGGCCCCTCACAATCCGCCCTGGCCCCTTACCTTCCTTGATAAAAACAACCGAGCTTCTGCCTGAGCTCAGAGAGCTCGCAGCCCTTGTTCTTCCGTGATGCCCCAATGCTGCCGATCACAGAGACGCGGACGTCCATGTTCCTTAAACCCCGCAAAAATCAATGTTGAACACACGCAAAGCAAGTGTCAGATGGAGTTCTAAGGCTTGTTTTTGGATTCTGCTTTCAAGAAGCAAAACTCACTTTTGTGCAAACTCCAGATTCAGGGCTTCGAAGGCTTTGCGGTGCTTGATGAAGAGAGCATGCTCATCTCGTAGCTGGTGGTCCTCTGGACTACCATCCAGCTGGGGTCGCCCGTCCACCTTTGGAAACAAGGATTTCCGGAAACTCAATATAGGGAACCTTCCGACCCAAGCCAGGATGCTTGCGTTTTGTCATCTTCCGGAGGCTAGCAGAGCAAACTTCTTTTAGTGAAGAGCTTGATTTTTGATGAGTTCGCAAGAAACACATAAAAAATGTTACGAAGCCTGGCCACCTGCATGATTGTTGTTTGGTGGGTTTGTTGGGGTCCCACAGCTTGAGAATCCATTTAAAGGTGCTATAGGGACTCAGCGGGGGGGGGGGGGGGNNTATACATATATATGTGTATATGTATTTGTAAGCTAGACAGGGTACATGGATTAAGGATTCTAGAAAATGGCAGTCGCTTCTGAGGCCAGGAGCCTGAGTTGTTTTTTTTCCTCGGGGTGGCTGCTCTGACGAGGAGATGGGCCGATTCTCACAGTGACGATCTAGTATCAATTGCAACGGTGTGCGCGTTGCGATGCTGATTGCTTCCCGTATGGTGTGCTTCCATGACATGACCACTGTTATCGCGATGTTGTTTGTTGAGGTGGCAAGCTGCCTCTATTTTTCTTTAACGCGATGCCTCCATGACAAAATACTTTTCAGGTTCTCAGGTGACAAACTTGTCAAGACCAAGCTTAACTGTGCAAGACTACTTGCATCAAACTAGCAGGAATCAAGGCGAGCTTGCAGCGCTCCTCAACAGGACCTCGGGAGACTAAAACAAAGTTGTAACAAGGCATTTGGTTCAACTCTGACTCCTTCTAGGTTGGGATCGGATAGTATTGCTGCCATCGACATTATCCTTGCTGTTTGTCTGTCATTCATGACCCAGCCACCAGCACAAGATCGCCATGAGGGCTCCTGTCCACTGTCAGCAGGCCACTTTTTTCTGGCACGCCGGCGATAAAGTTGAGAATCCTAGGGCTTACAGTTGGTCATTTTTGGGTCGGCACATGGGGGCTTGCAGGATTTGCTGGCTTCATCAAAGTTTGATGGTCATCGGTCATTGCCTTGGCTGCTGGAGAAAATCGGACCGTAGTTGCCAAAGCCTAGGAACGCAATCTACCTGCGAAACTAACACGGAGCCTCGTCTAGCCCCCTATGCGACGGGCAGTGTTTTTTGGGGCTCCTAACTAATGCATGGGGTTCCGTGTTAGCTAGGGGGATGCCCAACATGCAACCGAAATAACCCCCAAACCCCCATCCTGGAAGAAGCCAAACAACACTAATACCCGGATGACGTCGCGAAGCCTCTCCTCCCAAAACAGCCATGATCGCTCACGAACCTTACCCGGATCCGCTGGAAGTTTCTGAAGCCCAGCGATCCCTCTTTGAAGTCCATTGAGTTTAATCTTTTTCGAGAAGAGTAATAGCAACAGTGAGATGAATAATAGCAACAGTTCTGATTGTAAGATTACTACTACGGATACTGCCATAATGATTGTATTGCTACTAAAATATCATCATTAGCGTGACGAAGGAGCGGCCAAGAATCTGGCGCCTGTAGGCTGCCTCAGAAGCTGCACTGTCTCGCACGTCCCACCTGAGTTTTTGTTATGTAGGGTTATACCGGGATGTANNAGGGTTTTGGGTTCTGGGTTTCGGGGCTGAGGGTTCAGGAGTTTTGGCAGAGGTTCCATGGTTTGGGGAGGGGTCGGGTTTGTAGAAGAGCATCGGGTTTGGAGTGTTAGAGCTGCTCGCGAAACCAAAACAAGGAAGTCCAGAAACAACACCAACAGTCTCATGGTCAAAGAAGGCTCCTTCCAAAAAGAAAGCCGTGGTGCTGAGAGATAGCATCCACCAACGGCCCCGATGACACCGCATTGGAGCCAACCATGCCTGCTGATGTGTAGAGCTCTAAGCACTTCTCCAGCCTGGGTGGACAGAAGGTCAACAAAAACTCTTTTCCATTATTCACAGGTGAAAATCGAAACTTTTGTATGACTCAAGGTTTGGGGCGAAAATGTCGGCAGACATACTTCACCGACGAAAACAGGAACAAGCCAGGCTCCTAAACAAAGATCCTAGAAGCCTGGAAGAAGGTGTTCAACGAATCTAAGCACTAGACTGGGCAGTAACAGTAATTCACGCTTTTATCGTGACCACCTACCCACCTAAGCACCCTTGCACCCATGCACCCATCCGGAGAACGAACAGTGCCCCAAAAGGTGGGCCAGTATATCGTTTCTATCTTTTGCCTCCATTGTACTCTGCACGTTCCCCGACTATGTGGGGGGTTTCCCAAGGTCATGCGTACTTTTTTGGGGGGTCCCACTAATAAGGA